TAGAATCATAGAATGGTTTGGGTTGGAAGGGACCTTAAAGATCATCGAGTTCCAACCCCCCTGCCCTGGGCAGGGACACCTCCCACCAGACCAGGTTGCTCCAAGCCCCATCCAGCCTGGCCTTGAACCCCTCCAGGGATGGGGCAGCCACAGCTTCTCTGGGCAACCTGTTCCGGTGTCTCACCACTCTCACAGCAAAGAATTTCTTCCTGAGATCTGATCTAAATCTCCCCTCTTTCAGTTTAAAACCCTTCCCCCTCGTCCTATGGCTCCCCTCCCTGATCCAGAGTCCCTCCCCGTCTCTCCTGGAGCCCCTTTAGGGACTGGAAGGGGCTCTGAGGTCTTCCTGGAACCTTCTCTTCTCCAGGCTGAACAACCCCAACTCTCTCAGCCTCATAGGAGAGGCTCAGTCCTCTGAGAATCTTTGTGACCCTGCTTCCCCTGCTGCTGCAACAATGTGCAGCCAAGTCCAACTTCTAACAGAGCTACAAACCACAAAATTTTGAGTTTCATACTGCTCTACGGGAGGGATGGGAACTTGCCCAGGGAAAGGGGACAGAACGTGGTGCGGAATTGGGGCCCACGTCATGCAGATAATCCTTCTTTTCTCCTAGTTGCATCAAAGCCACTTGTCTTCATAAGCATCTTTGACTTCTTCATAGTGCTTCCCATATGAAATAGCTGGTAATTGCTAGGCCAGTTAGTTCTTTGCTCTTTTATGCTTCTAGATATTGCAACTGAGAAGGAGTGATGGAATGGAGAGTGAGTTGTGAGAACAGGGCTGAAGTATGGGGTGCAGCTGCCCGGGGGCATCAGCCAAGGAAAAGACAAAAAGTTTTAGAAGAAGGAGAGAGAAAGACACAGACACATCACATGGGAATAATTTGTCATCTGCAGTGGCTGGAAGAGAAGAGAGGAGTCTTTCTAGGATGCAGGGGGGAAATATCAGAGAAGCACCATGTGGTGACTTCTGTTTGAGAGCTTGCTGAAGAAAATCTTATCCGATTTTCTTCAGGGCATGAAATCCCTGTGTTCTGTATGTGAGGAGGAAACTCTGATTGATGGGGCCATGATTCCATCTGAAGCTTTGGGGAGCTACACACGCATAGGAGCTTTGCTGTAATGAGTCTTGATGGGATTGCTTCTCCATAACTCGCTTGGTTCTTGGGACAAATCAGAAACATTCTTGCCAGACAAGACATTCGACAGCCAGTATGTTAAAAGAGGGAAAAATGACATGACCCTATCCAAGGTGTGAAGCTATTAACCCTGCTATAAATTGCTTGATAAATACTATTATAATGAAGCAGCAAAAGAAGAAGAAATAGCTGGATGTGCAACACAGACAAGTGAGCACTGCAACCCCAAATCCTCTACTTAGCATTAAAGTCAGCAGTTGTTATTAATTGTATTAACTCTTTTTGTAGAATTAATGAGAAAAGGAAACTTGGAGATTCTGTATTAGACTGCTACAGGCTCATCTAATAAAAGGCATGTCCAGTTTACAGGCTTCTGGTTAGCAAAGGGAGGAGTTACATGTTATTTATATTACAACATCTATAATCCACATGTACATCACCAGCTGAGTACATGTGCTTGCTGAATCTCTTCATGTTACTGATGTAGATTTTTTATTGGTCATTTTCCATCTCAATTCATAAGCAGGAATTCTTTAATTAAGTCTCAATTTGCTTCTGTTTTTAAACAAACCTGGCATTAATCTTCAGTAAAAATGCCATGTGCCAAACTTCACGTCTTGCACTTGTGCCTCTTGCGCTGCAGCCTTGTCTGGTTTGGAGTTTTGTGTTCTGTGTATAGAGCAGGTGACAATCAGCCAATCAGGCTTTTTCAAGTCCAAAAAACCCCCAAAAAAGCAAAAAACCTTTGACTTTTGGTTACAGGTAGATCTTAGACAAATCCAGGTTAAAATTTCAGGTCCTTTGCTGGTGGATTTACTTATGAAAAAGAGAGTTACAATTCAAATAATTTGTAGCTGGAAGAACTGCCCACTATCTGTTATGAAGTAGTGCTCTGTTACCTTCTGCTAAAATGGTTATGAACGCATTCCATCTACCTTTAGTTCTAGACAAGATGTAACATGTGTCTCAGACAGAATTGGTTTGAAGATCTCCACGATATTCCCTTTGGAGGTGTAGCCGGCTTAGCAGATATTGCAGTTTTCTGTTCCCCGGACCATTAGTAGCTGTTAAGATCATCTTTTTGCTGCGGTGGAAAGCCTCGAGTGCTGCAGAATCCTGACAACAGCAAAAAGGACAAAGCCTGAAAATTGCTGACGGAAAGCTGATATTGCCTGGGAGGGCTCTCGCCAGGGGTGTGTTTGGCACAGGCACAATTCCCGTAAGCCAAACTGTCATAAAATGAAGGAGAGAGCCACGCAACAGCTTAGTATCAGATCTTAAAGCTTGATTCCTCTAAATGCCTTTGAAAAAGCAGAGTGCGTGTCCTGATGAGATGTACAAGCATCGCTTTGCCCTGGAAGCTCATCTGGGAGTGCCCTGTGGTGGCTGCGTTTCTCTGACAGAGCATCACTTCTGATCTCACGTCTCCTGCGGAAAGAGAGGGGCAGAAGGATGAGGAGTTTGTACTCAGGGCGTAAGAAACCTGTCAGGCTTCCTGTCATGTCGGAGGGAACGAGCTCTTCTCTCTGCTGCCTTCACCAGAAACACTGAAATCTGCTCCTGCTCTTCCAGTTTCTCCCAAAGAGAGTTTTTCCATCCCCAGCTCCACTTTGCGTGGAGGAATTTGTCTCTATGCTTTATCTTTGTAGGCTTTTCTTTACTTTTCCATCCTCCTAAATGAGAGCGTGCCTTGGCGAGCAATTTGCTCGTGTTCTTCTCCTCATTTTTACTGTTCTGATCTTCATGGTTTGGCAGAGGATGGAAGAAAATGGCAGCGTGATAGGACTCACTGATGGAAGAACTGCTGGAATATTTACATGCTCAGTTCTGACAAGGTACTAGAGACAGACACACAGATTCTCAGTTCTAGTGAGAGGCTTTTCCACTATCCGTGCCCTCGAGAGGATAAGAAAGAAAAGGTAAATTCAGGTCCAAAAGAGGCTAAGAACTCCAAGCTATAAGGTGGAAGGAAGAAGAATAAAATAGTGAAGTTAATTTATCATCAGCAAACCCTTACCTTGGGCTAGATCCTTAGTTTGTAGAACTGATGTAGCCATGGATTTGGTCCATGGAATTTGGTTCACCTGACAGGGGTCTTTTAGAAGGCTTTGCAAGTGATCCCAGTCTGCCTTCATCGTGGATGTGGGTTTCTCTGACACAGATTTCGGAGAGCAGGGCATGCCTGGTAGACTCAGATGGCTGGCATTTTCACCCAGAGAGAACATTTTCAGCGCAAGTGAAAGGATTTGCATTATTTCTTTCCTCTTGTTCTTATTCAGTCATTGAAAGTGAGAGATATAACAGCTCGAGAGAGATAACAGCTTTGAACTTTGTGAAAATCATTTAATTCCCCTAGGACTTCTACATTTAAATTCTGTTCTTCTGAGAAAGACTGGTTTTGAGTCTGTGAAGGGTTATTATTAAGAATCTTCCTCTTGAAATGACATTTTATTTTATAATGCCATTGGTGATGGCAGTGTAATTAAGATGGCAACTATTTTTACCTCTTATTTTTACTTTCACGATCTCAAAATTTTGAGAAATCTAATGTCCCCTTCACCTTTAGACAAATTAGCAGAGAATAAAAATGCTTTGCAATAATATTAAAGAAGTTTGCAAGTGATGGTCTTACTGGCTTCTTTAAAAAGGAGGCCAACATCTTGAAGATGCCAAAAGTTGTTCAAATTCCGTATTTATGTGGAATGCGTCTTTATTAACAAAGACCTTATTTAAAGACCTTCTCACATGTCAGTGAGAGGCAAGAGCCAAGGGAAGCTACCAAGTGCAAGGCATTCACTGACAGCCCCACCTCAGGCCCTGGGAGGTGAGAACACACCGGTGACATGTTGCTGAGCTGCCATGTCTTTTGTGTCTTAAATTTACCCTAATATTAGTTCCAGTATCTTAATTTCTTCCATCATGTTTAATCAGTTTGCACTCCACATGGCTGTGAATGGGGCTGCCAATGGAGGAAAGTGCTATTCAGCTTGAGTAAAGTCCCCAAAAAAGGCAGAATTTGCAGCCAGGCTCGCGTGTTACCTACCAAGAGGGAAAGCTTCTGGGGTCCTGCCTGACAAAAAAGGCAGAATTTGCAGCCAGGCTCATGCGTGTGCTCCCAAGAGGGAAGGTTTCTGGGGTCCTGCCTGAGGTTGGCACTTGGGCTTCACTGGAATTAATCATGAGAGTAGGAAGAGAAAGTTTTGGTCCAAATCTGGATTTCTTCAAATTTTCAGTACTCGAACTGGAGCGATGTCCATCCCTCCTCCCCATTCTAAAATAAATACAAAGCAATGTTTCTGCTTGTAAGCACAATAGTTCTCTTATAGCGCTTTGGCTGCTGGTAATATCATAAGGAGGCTTTTATTAATTCTTTGACAACACTCCAGAGGTTTGAAAAGTCTGACTCAGTTTGCCAGCAGAGAATCAGACAATGGAGATCTTAGTGCGGCATTTGTAGTCATCTCGTTAGGGAATGAAACCCATATTTATGTTTTAGACAATTCCTGTAGGTCCTATTTTAACGTTGCTCGATTTCTTCCCCGGCAGGTGTGATTATTGTACCAAGTGCTGGTGTTGGTATCGTCCTGGGAGGCTACATTATAAAAAAATTGAAACTCGGTGCAAGAGAGTCTGCAAAGTTGGCCATGATCTGCAGCGGGGTGTCTCTGCTCTGCTTTTCAACTCTCTTCATTGTTGGATGTGAAAGCATTAATCTAGGGGGAATAAATATACCGTACACGACCGGGTAAGTCTCTTGGAATCATCTGTAGCAAAACCAGATTGTTTTCGGTAAGTCTCTTGGAATCATCTGTAGCAAAAACAGCTTTTTTTTTTCCAGTAATCCTGATAAAGAAATGTAAAAAAAATGCTGGTGGCTGATGTATGGAAGAAACCACATGTTCAAATGAGAATTCTGTAAGTATTGAGTTATAAACACACAGTGTTACTACATGGCCCTTGGGTTTTACATTCAGATTATAACAAATCTGACATAACAACTCACCTTTTCGAGGGCTGGGATAACGCATTAGAATGGCATTCAGTGATTTTTACAGGAAAATAAGAACAGTATCCTCGGTAGGTTGCTCAGAGTTTAGTTGGTGTTTCAACATGTTTTCTGCTCATTAAAATTGTGAAAATACTAAAGGGATTATAAAGATTATTTCTGAAGAGGTTTGTTTATCACCACCATAATACCGTCTTAGGTCTACAGTCCCTGTTTGAGAGGAATTACTTCAGCACATGCTGTCAACATCAGTGGTGTGTGCTGCTTCTGAACCCCTTACTAGCTTTATGAATGCCCTTCAGGGCTTGCTGGATCATCATTAAGATAGGGGGGGATCAAAAACCTTAAAGGTATATTGAGAATGAAAAAAAACTCACAAAAAAGAAGGTGTGGGTGCAGGAAGGTGTTGGGAGTGAGAGATTTAGGCTGAGACATTAAGAAATGCATGGAAGGGCATCTTTTTTTTCAAAATGAGAGATATATGGAAGGAAGACAGTGTGGTAAAAGATGTGAGAAGGTGTTTCACTGGAAGGTAATTCCTCAGAAGCCTGATCGTGAGCTTTTATTTTCTTTCTTATTTTGAGGTTTGGAAGACAGTGTAGAAAAAGCAGGAAAAGAGATGATCAACTGGGGGCAAAAAATACCCCCTACAGTGGGGCAGTGAGCAAGCCAAGTGAAAAACAAAAGAGGAAAAAATGGAAAGCAAGGGAGGAGGAAAATAGGCTCTGTTTACACAGGGAATATTTTGCATTGCATGTTGCTGGGTGTTACTACATTGCTGTCAAACCCTAATCCCGGAGAAAGGAGAACCAGTGATTGAAGGTCATGAGCTGCTGGCAAGCTGGTTTGCTGCTTTGTGTTCTTAAATGCCCAGAGTTAAAGCTTGGTGCTGGGGGGCTGACTGTAGAGGAGAGCAGCACGGTGAGAGATCCTCATCTGAGCAGAGTGGGCTGAAGGAGGAGAGGATGGGGGTGGGAAGGGGGGTGGAACGCTGTGATTGTCCACCCTCTGTTGATGTTTGTGACAGCCTGGGGGCGTAGATGAAGAAATGCAAATTTTTAGCAATTAAAACATAAATCTCGTAGAGCAATTAACTGAAATGTGTGGCAGGTCAGAATGTCTCTGCCTGGCTAATGAGAAGGCTGTAGTTTCTGTTTGGGAAAAAGTGCTATTTAATTTAAATCTATTTCTAAATTGAAGACAAAGCAAACTATTGCCATGTAACACTATTGAGCAACCTGCTCGAGTGGAGGTGTCCCTGCCCAGGGCAGGGGAGTTGGAACTTCATGATCTCTAAGGTCCCTTCCAACCCAAACCATTCTGTGATTCTATGAACACATAACCTTCACACTGGAATTGTAAGAGTATCTAACTTTTTTTTTTTGCAGTGAGTAATACCATTTGCAGTAAATACATAGCACGGATTGAAATAGGCATCTGTTCGCAGCTGTTCTGAAAGTCTGGGGTAGCATTACTTTTTTACCACCTTCATCTAATTATTCTTATTGAGAGAAGAGGTGAGAGATGGTAATGGCAAAATTCTTGAAAGTGTTGAGGTTTATCAACTCTTTGAGAGCAGTATAAAAGTCAGTATGTTCAGACTGTGATGCTATCAGAAATTGAGAATTACCAGCATGGTAATTACACACGGTTCAGGAGTTTGCAGTCCCATGATTTTTTTTAATGCAAAGATCAAATCCCGATTTATTATCAGAATGATAATAAAGAAACAATGCTACACTTAAATTCATCTTGAATACCTGACATGATAAACATTACCTTAATCCTCATGGTCAGTCATTTGGCACCTTCAGACCCTTTACCTGGTAGGCAGCTCTTTAGCTCAGACATCAAAGGATGCTGTTGTACATGTAACATGTACATGCTTTCATATTGAGGTTTAATAAAACACATACTTCATTCTCTAGATCCAATGCAGCGTGGCCTTATGGACATCAAAGCCAGTCCAACAGGCTGGATGGGATAGGAGAAGCATAAATGGTTCAGAGTAATACCTTGCATGATGCTCTACCTTAGCGTGGCTATGCTGAGTCTGAGCTACCTGCTCTGGCAGCAGCCCAGAGATCTCAGCTGCTTTGGGCAGCATAGACATCCTCTGCAGAAGACTCTTCTCTGGAAAAATATGCTCAGTTCTATTGTTCTTTTCTCTTACATTTAAAAAGTAGTTTTTCTTTTTTTTCCTGTGATGAACTGAGCCATAAATGAGTACAAAGGAGAAGGATAAGCTGGGTTTGAGTTAACACAGAAGTATGTGCATACCAGCACTCAGCAAAGCAGGCAGTGATATTTCGTAATTCAGCATGTTTCATAACTCAGTATTTTTCTAACTGTACCAGCTGTGAGGAAGTGGATGGGACCTGGAGGCATGCACAGATTAGAATACATTTGCAAGGATTTTCTGCTGGTTTATGTTGGGCACAAGCACTTTTGCTGTTGTTGCATGTCATCAGCAGTTCTGTTATCAAGGAGGTCAAGGACACCTCTGTATTACACATCTCAGCATTTGGAACCTGTTGTTTCGTGCCCCAGCCTTGTCTCTGAAGGCATGTTTGATATTTGAGCTCAGTGTAAGGGGCCTTATGTCAGCCCACAATATGGCATCCCTTCTCTTGCACCATAGAATCAAAAAATGCTTTGGGTTAGAAGAGACCTTAAAAATCATCCAGTTCCAACCCCCTGCCCTGGGAAGAGACACCTCCCACCAGGTTGCTCAAAGCCCCATCCAGCCTGACCTTGAACCCATGGGGCAGCCACAGCTTCTCTGGGCAACCTGGGCCAGTGCCTCACCACCCTCACAGCAAAGAATTTCTTCCTAAAACCTAGTCTAAATCTCTCCTCTTTCAGTTTAAAACTGTTCCCCCTCATCCCATGGCTCCCCTCCCTGATCCAGAGTCCCTCCCCATCTCTCCTGGAGCCACTTTAAGGACTGGAAGGGGCTCTCAGGTCTTCCCGGAGCCTTCTCTTCTCCAGGCTGAATGGGAAGTCATGTATCAGTGAATTGTCTCCTTGTCCAGACAGCTTTTGAAGATCTCCAAGGATGGAGACTCCACAGCCTCTCTGGGCAACCTGTGCCAGTGCTTGGTCACCCTCACAGTTTCCTGATGTTCAGAGGGAACCTCCGGTGTTTCAGTTTGTGCCCATTGCCTCTGGTCCTGTCACTGGGCACCACTGGCTCTGTCCTCTTTGCATCCTCCCTTTGGGTGCTTATAGGCATTGATGAGATCCCCCTGAGCTTTCTCTTCTCCAGGCTGGACAGTCCCAGGTCTCTCAGCCTTTCCCCACAGAAGAAATACTCCAGTCCCTTCAGCACCTTAGTTGCCCTTTGTTGGACTCTCTCCAGTATGTCCATGCCTCTCTTGTGCTGCAGAGCCCGTAACTGGACCCAGTACTCTAGGTGTGGCCTCACCAGTGCTGAAAAAAGGGGAAATAGCAGAGATCAGCTGCTTTGGTTGTTTGTCGATCTGTCTTTTCCATGTTTTTTGGTGTAAGGCAACTAAAACAGGCTCGGTGGGGAGCTTACTCATAGTGACAGATTCCTGGATTAGTTCCGTTCCATCTCTTACGTTTCTGGTATGTAATGAATCAAAACAGACCCTTTTTGGTTGCTTTCTCTTGTTTTGGGGCAATTAAAGTTTAGTTAAAACACACAGTTGACTTACTGAGGCACTTCACATAAAAAAATTATTTGAATCTTCCTCTTGTACCACCAGTTTGGGTTTCTGTTATTCTTCTATCTTTTTCAGTCCAATCAGCCAGCTGGATCCCTTAACTTGAGAGCAGTGACTAATTGGGTCAGAACAATAACAACAAAGAAGGAATCCAGCTCACACAGTCAGAGGGTCCCTTGTTTGACAGCTACACAAAAATTGCATCATTGCTGCCATTCCAGCTGCTTGCCAACAAGGAGACTGCAAATCTCTGCCATCCAGAATGCCCTTCAATACCAATGCAAAAAATATTGCTATCAAGATAATCTTTTTTATCATGTAGCCCAATATTAAGATTATGGAAATTATGTGGTGAGGTGTTATTTCCTTTCCTTTGTATTTCCTTGGTCCCGTAGGTTACTACAGCAATCTAAATAAATATTAACAAAACCATGTGCCAACCAATTCTTTGTTTAGATGTTACCAAAATATAGTCAAGCACTGCTTTTTTTTTTTTTTTTTTTTTTTTTTCCCCCTTCCTTGTACTGTTTGCTGTGGCATTCTGCATCAAAAAGAAATTACTTTATATTGTAGAGGTAAAACTAAAAAATGTAAATGAAATATTTGTAATACTTCAGAATACTGAATTGATCATCAGAAGTGCCCTGAGGTAATTTTTTTTTTCCTGTGATGAACTGAGCCATAAATGAGTACAAAGGAGAAGGATAAGCTGGGTTTGAGTTAACACAGAAGTATGTGCATACCAGCACTCAGCAAAGCAGGCAGTGATATTTCGTAATTCAGCATGTTTCATAACTCAGTATTTTTCTAACTGTACCAGCTGTGAGGAAGTGGATGGGACCTGGAGGCATGCACAGATTAGAATACATTTGCAAGGATTTTCTGCTGGTTTATGTTGGGCACAAGCACTTTTGCTGTTGTTGCATGTCATCAGCAGTTCTGTTATCAAGGAGGTCAAGGACACCTCTGTATTACACATCTCAGCATTTGGAACCTGTTGTTTCGTGCCCCAGCCTTGTCTCTGAAGGCATGTTTGATATTTGAGCTCAG